GTTGTCCAGGCATATTATGCCTTTAAGTTTGCTGCATGTTTTCCTAGCTCAATTAGGCTATCAGTATTTTTAGAGAGGGACATAATTTGGGGCACTTTCCTCTTTAACACTTAGTCTTCTCCCAAATCCAGTCCTCTGCTATTGGAATGCCAGAAACGTGTATATTCCTTTCTTTTACTGGTTCATTCATTTTACAAACACTCTTCAAGCACTGTGTTGAGGTAGTAGAAATACAAAGATAATGATTTCTCTCAGGGAACTTATAGTTTAGTAGGTGAGACAGAGAAGTAAATTAAAGATTATGAAAAGAAGTTTCACAGCTATGATAAACATATGCTCACTGTACAATAAAGAATCATAGAGAAGTAGTGCCCAACCTAAGTAGGGCTATCAAGAAAAGTTTCAAAAGGACAAGGGGCCTTAACTGAATGTTTGAAGATAAGTCAGTAATCAGGTGAGAAAATCAGGGAAGATCAATCCTGGCAAGAGAGACCAAATGCCTAAAGGTAGAGAGGTAAGAAATGGGAGGGTACAAGAAGCTCTGTGCTGCTGGGGCATAAAGTGTGAGGCTGGAGGGAAAATATGAGGCCATAAATTAAGTAGAAACTGGAAGAGGATATAAGCCACGGTAAGGAGCTTGAGAGAAATCTGATCTGCCAATGATGCTCAAGGGGCTCCGTGAAGCCCTAGCAAGGACTGAGAACTGCAGGTCTGTGGAATGCTGGGTATGGCCAGCACAATGCTCTAAAATGGATTGGAATGCTTTTCTCCGATTTACCAGTCTTCAACACTCCCCGTGGTCCTGTCTCTTGTCTCTCCTCTTCCTGTTCCTTCAGTCCCTGTATGTTCCCCTGGCTACTGACCATCTTACTGACACTGAGGCCATTTGTATTGTACTGTCCATTCGTGTCCTACAGGGGTCTCTCATTTAGTTTTCACCCAATCTTGTTCATTAAACCCTTGATGTGTGAAGCCCCCTCCTCCCCCCACCACCCAAAAAAAGATTAAAAATTTTTGGAAATCAGTGAATACTAAATCCCTTTTCTGGAGATTTACAATATACATTTGCACATTAATGCCACTAACAAGATCTGCGTTAAACAAAACACAACCGATTTTGTTTAACAGAGTATTTTCCAAGCTAATCTGACCATGGAACCACCTCTTTTATTAACATCTAGAACAGCCATTTTCGAAGCGTGGTCTGGGAATGCCTGAGTCTCTGGGATCTTCCCAGGGGTTCTGTGAAATCAAAAGTATTTCGTAATAAGACCAAGGCATTATTTTCCTTTTTCATTCTCATTCTCTCAAGAGTGTTCAGTGGAGTTTTCTAGAGGCTGCACGATGTGCAATATTGTAAGAGATGAAATACAGAAGTGGATAGGAGGATCAATTAAGCCAGATAGTAAAGAGGTCTGAAAAAATGTAAAACAGTTCACTTTTCTCCATACTTTTTAAAAAAAGAATCTGCTTACTTTTTATAAAACTGTCCTATGTTAACATGCTAATATGTTAAAAAAAATCTCTCAGTTTGGATTTCTAATATGCCAAATGTTTACAAATATAACTCACATAACCAGAAGCTCTTTAGGGTCCTCATTAACTTGTAAGAATGTAAAGGGGTCCTGAGACAAGAGTTGAAAACTGTTGATCTAGCAGAATTACTGGTAGTGGGTAACTATTATTTTTGGCTGCCCACCAGCACAGCATCAATTCCTTATCTTTTTGATATCTGCACTTTAACTCTTCTTTGGGAATTGTCTCTCCCCTCCTCTCGGTCCACGAAGTTCAGATTGGGTTAAGTCGATCCCTAGGCCCAAGCCAGGCCTGAATCTAGACTTAACATTACATTTTTCAACTACATGAAACAATAAATTATCACTTGAGTCCAAAAGAATACACCAGTCTTAATATACCAGTGTACAGTACCAGGAGATACAGTGTGAGAAATGTTGATCTAATCATTGTGCTGTTTGTAGCTGAGTATTGACACAAACTTGAGTCTTTGATTGTGTTCTTGGTCTTGGTATCTCTTAATACATATTAATTTACTAGGGCTTTGACTTAACTATTTTATGATTTTGTTAACAAATTAACTGGTTAACTAATATAATAATAAATATATTAATGAATTCACAGTAAATAAGACAGACATGTCCAATTGGGAAGATATATTAAACAAATAATTATAATAACATAATCATCCTCTGCTTAAGATAGCACCCTGGTCACTTTCTTCCTGAGTAGCTGTTACTCAGGTTAGTTATAACCATATCTTTGCCCAAGAAGCCTTCTCTGACTCCCCAGAACAGGGAGAGAATAGGGCCCCACTGTTATTATAATGGTCTTATTGTACTTGCAGTTTGCCTTCCTCACGATTCATACAGCACTCATCACGATTTTAGTTAATTATTTGTGTGATGATTTGGTCAATGTTTCTTTCCCACTAGAGTGTAAGCTCCATGTTTATCTTGATCACAACTCTGTCTCTAGGATCCAGCTCAGTGCTTGGTAGATAGTGGGTTCCCACTAATATACCTGTAGGTGAATGAATGGATGCATGAGTGTCGTGATAGGAGAAGACAAGGGTGCTATCAGAGATTAAAGGAGGGTGGCCACCTTGGGTTTGGAAAACAGAGAAGGACTTCTGGAGATGTGACATTGAGCTGAGAGAAGAAGGACGAGTAGGGAAGTCATCCAGGTGTGCAGACATGGGAGATGGGAGAGCTAGGGGTAGTATTTGAAGCTGATGTAGAAAAGGAGTCTTGAGCCAGATTGTGAACGACTATTTGAAGTTTTTATCTTAAGAGTTTAGACTTTATGCCAACAATACTTAGAAGCCATTAAAGGATTGGAAGTAGGGAAATGATACATCTTTTTGCTTAAAGGAAATCCTGATCAGTGTGTATAGAACTGTTCAGGAGCAAGCAAGAGTGGCAGTGACTAATTCAGATGAGAAATAGTGTGGCTTGGACTGGGATAGAGGCACGGGCTCTGCAGACTCCTTCAATCATTTTTTGCTCAATACATATTTACTGTGCACCTGCTAGGAAATGGGTTTATAGAGGTGAATAATACAGATAAAGTCCTTGACATATGGGGTTTATATATTAATTGGGGAGTGGAATGTTGACAAATGAATAAGTAAATAAATAGGCCAGAAAGGTTACTTTTGAGGAAGCAACAAGCAGACTGACAGTGGAGTTTCCAATCCAGCCTATGGATGCCAGAATATGATGGGATGACATCTTTAGGGCACTAAAGGAAAATAAGTGCCAAGCAGTAGAAATGTCAGATGAGGAACTCTGTAGGAATGTAATATACAGCCCTCTATAGGAAACTGCTGGGTCAAACATACCTGAACATGGTCCAGATATTTGAGGGACCTTCTTGTAATCTGAAGATTAAGATGTCAAGGAATAAAAAACACGTATAAAACATTGAAAAAGAATGGAAGGAGCTACAATAAAGTCATTGTGAGTTTAGTTGTTATAACACACGCTAAAAATCTTTGATCCTAATAAAGATTTATAAAAAGAATGAAATATAGAATTGTTTCCCAAAAGAAGAAGAAGGAAAAGGAAGAGGAGGAAAACAACATCCATTTCCCAAAGTTAACAAACAAAAAGCAGGAAGAGGCCCAGGACTGCATGGAGTAGAAGGTTAATGTTGTTTCTACATTGGAGTCTGAATTGTCTTTTTCCTTATCAAACTTGATATACATACTCATATACATGCTAAAAGCATTTTTGAATTTGAACAAATCATTCAATTGTATGAGTGCTGTTTAACCCAGTCTAGTTCTTTTTCAACATGTGCTGAGTTCTAAGTGTTCCATTTAGAGCACAAGCTTTAATAACTCAGAGATGTGTCATTTGTGATAAATCTTGCCTGTAGAAGTACCCGTTAGAGAACTATGCAGAAAGAGGACGCAAAATTAAAAAGTATTAATAAAAAGTGGAAATATCCTAAGTTTTTATATGTGTTTAAAATGGCCAGCACCTCCCTTCCTTCCAGCTGAAGATGTATCAGAATGTGTGGGCAAAGTTCATATTTTCATTTTCTCACTGAGGGGCACAATTCTGAGCAGAGGCTTTTAAAAAGCCCTGGAAAGTTTCCGTTAGCAACGAAACTAACATTTAACTACACTTCAACTTTGTGTAACATCCCTCGTTCCTGATTGACAGTTGGATGAGGTCTCCTGGGTTGCCTACGGTCTGAGCGTACACCCCTCTTATCTTTGGGGTACTACTGAGCAGTAAGAATGGCATATGGCAAACTCTGTAGGAATGTAATATATGGTCCTATATATGAAGCCGCTGGGTCCTACCCCTCTCTCTGTACTTTTTTTTAAAAGCCAGAGTTGATGCCTATTGGATCTCTGCCGCCACATTCAAAACCTGCCTCACTCAAAGCCACTTTGAGGGTGCAGAAACAGGGATTTGGGAAGGAGGTTCTGGAATTTTCTAAGTTGGCCAAAATACTTAATTCGGAACCTACATTTGGAACCATGACAGAGGCTGCACCCTTAGGATCCCTAAGGACGTTCCTTGCTGAATTTTTTTGGGGGCGTGAGGTGGGGGAAGAGGCAGATAGGAAGGGCCTTCAGAGATCACCAAGTCCAACTTTCTAAATCCTATAAGAGAAACTGAGGCTCAGGGATGCAAACTGTCCGAGGAATGTCTGTGATGTCACATTTCCCCTTTACCAAGGCACTCATCTGCATCTCCCCCAGCCCATCTCTTTGCCCTCCAGACAGGCAGCTGAGGATGGGCAACTGCCGTCTAGAACCCTGGAACAACCCACAGCCTCCTCCTCTGAGGGCACCGATGGGGAGGAGGACTTTAGTGAGAGTAAGAAAGAGAGGGAGGGCGAAAGGAAGGAAGGGGAGCCAGAGGTGGGAGTGGAAGAGGCAGCCTCGCCCGGGGCTGATTGGCTCCCGAGGCCAGCCCTCTCGAAGAGGTTTATAAGAGTTGGGGCGGCCGGGCGCCCTGCCCGCTCGCCCGCGCGCCCCAGGAGCACTGCCCGGCTCGGAGCACCCCACGTCGAGGCCCGCCTGGCCCCGCGCCGGCTCCTGCCTTTGGAGTTGGCGGCGGGAGGACGAGCACGGACCGAGAGACGGAGGCGAGCGCCCGAGCCAGCGGGCCGAGCGCCATGCGCCGCGCCAGCCGAGACTACACCAAGTACCTGCGCGGCGCCGAGGAGATGAGCAGCGGGGGCGCCCCGCACGAGGGTCCCCTGCACGCCCCGCCGCAGCCCGGGCCGCCCGCGCCGCACCAGCCCGCCGCCGCCTCGCGCTCCATGTTCGTGGCCCTCCTGGGGCTGGGGCTGGGCCAGGTCGTCTGCAGCGTCGCTCTGTTCCTCTACTTCAGAGCGCAGGTGAGTGCCCGCCTCCCCAGGGGCGCGCGGGCGGGGCGCACCCACCTCGGTCCTCCCGCACTCGTGGGAAACTGAGTCTGGCTGCCTGGCCCCGCTACCCAGATCTTGCATATTCAGGAGGGGAAAGTGACTCTAAAGCGGGGGCGTCCGGCTCGGGCACAGCCTGGCGCGGGGTCGGCGCGCTCTCCTCTGCTCTAGGCGTACGCACCCGCCCCACAGCGCGCTGAGGCTGGGCTCGCCCGGCCTGGTGCGTTTGAATTTCCCCCGGTGAGACAGCATTGGCCGCTCACCTCTTCTGGAAATGATTGCACACTTTACCTCCCCTTCCATTTCTCACTTGGAGCTAAAAATTAACTCACGTCCGCTCAGGGAAAAAGTTTGAGCGCCTTCATCGACCCTTTCCCTCCCGCCCACCACCTGGAGGATTTGGGTTCCTGGGGCTGGCTGCTTGGCAGGTATGCTCCGGGCCACAGGGCTTGAGGGGCGCGCCGAGTGGAAGGTGCATGTGGTGCCGGCAGCCTCTGGAGCACCAGCGGTGATGCTCAAGTCGCCAGATGGGCCAAAGGACGTAGGGCGACGAGACAAGCCTGGTCTCAGGGCAGGGGCTCCGCTCGCGCGGGGTGAAAGAAAGATCCACGTGCCTTCCCTTGAGGTGGGCGGAGGAGGGAAGCGAGGTGTGTGTGACGGTAGTGAAGTTCTCTCCTTTGGCACAGCCTCGCTACAACCTAGCAAATAACCAACCTTTTAAAAGACAAGGAAGGCGGCTCAGAACTGCAGAGAGATAGTAGAAAGGAAGGGGTAAATTTGTAATATTATGCTTTCTGGCGGTTTATGCTCTTGTGTTTTCTTGGAAATTGCAGTGCAGTCGGTTGGATTCATTCAAATATTCTTGTCTGGTGCCGTGAACTCTTTCTCAGAGGAAGTGGAGGGCTGACTGTGCATTTTTTTTTTTTTAATGGGAAAAGAGAGTTGAGTTTGGACTTCATTGGTTTTCAGATACAAAGGTGATTACTAAACCAAACTGGACGCATCAAAACGTGGCATTGCTTGGGTTGTATGGGTTTTCGGCATGTGCTAGAGTCTTGAACTTTGTTGCTTGTAATCGTAGGCTTATTGTTAAAAATTCATTGTCCACTAGTTTGCGTTTTATAGAACTAGTTTGATTATCTACTAAAACAAAGTTAGAAATACTGTGAGCAATACTTTAGAAAATTAGTATTTGTATAGTAATATACATAATGTTTACCTATTGAGAGAGTTTTTTTCTAAAAAGACAACTTTTGAGTGGTTTACTTGCAACATCGATTACACAAATCTATATGAAACTTATGGAACGTTTTTCTTTCACTGCAGTACACTGCAGTCAAGAATGAGTGGTTTATCCATTTTCCCACCCACCATGTTGTTTTTCCCTCCGTTTAATGCTTGTGCATCGAGCGCCTGCATTGCTCATGACACTATTAAATGCTGTGGAATATGAGTTAAAAATCCTTTATTTAACACACAATGTCCACCTACTGTGTGCATGGCATGGTACGAGGTAACAGAGGGGACTACAACAAAAGACTTAAAATTCTCAGTCAAGCAAGAGAGCAGCCTTCAGTCAATGGACAGAAGATGCAGTAGTTCTCTATCTTATCTTTTCTAACACCTTAGGGATATGACATTTTCACAGCAGTAATAGTCTAGTGAGTGTTCAGCATTGTAAGAGTGGTAAGGAATGAATGAGTTTTAGAGACCACGAGCAGCTTAGATTGGCAGGAATGGTGGAAATTGGTGTGGCCATGGAGGAAAGAGTGACCTGCTGGGCTGTTATGACAGTTGTTCAGCTTCTCCATAGGAATTCTTGATATTAATGGTCTGGCGGGCTGAGGGGTCTAACCTTCTGATGATCACTTGTCATAACTTAGCAGTTGATGTCACATGGATAATAGTGAAACTCTCAAAACCTTATTCTGAAGTAAACATGTCAGTTAGTAAACCTAGCTAGAAAACTTTCATTTGGAGAATTTAATGTCATCAGATTTCTGGGTACAATTTTCCTAAATGCATGAAAATTGGGTTTCTCTAAGACTTATGCAAAATATATTAGCCATTACTCTGAACCCAATTTTGTACTGCATTTCTAAAAGGTCATCTCCTTCAGTAAAGAAATAATATTAGGAGCAATGTGTTCATAGGAATATACCACTAGATCTAGTTGCATTTTATTGAGTATGGTTTCTACATTTGATACCTAAAGGAGTCCTAATCATTTAGATACATTCTGAAGTAGTTACAAATGAAATGCTATAATGACTGGAATTTGTTTCAAAATAATAGGTGGGGAGGGTTGGGGGTAAGGAGGTGGTTGTCTATAGATGAAACAAGATTGGCCATGCATGGTAATTTTGGAAGCTGTGTGATGGGTACTTGGGGGTTCACTGTACAATTCTTTTCACTTTTATATATGTGGAGGCCTTCTTTCAAAGTTCTAGCTAAGAGAATAGACTCAATTTAACCTGTCACTGATTTGATATTTTCATATCAGCTCCTTGGATTAGAACTTGGTACCAAATAAGAGAGAGTTTTTTGATTTCCACTAAAGTTGGGGGTCAACTACTTGGGATTTCTGAATGCATTTGAATTAGAATGAAATCATCTAGTATCAGTAATATATTTGCACTTTACAGTAAAAAACATGAGAAAAGGGGGAGCCAGTTTTATTGTTTTTGTTTAAAGGCAGCGGGGGACGCTATGCAAATCCTCAAGAAAAAGCAGTTTAACTTAGTTTTAAATGCATTTAAAAGAATGCCCAGAATAGTGTAAAAATTACAGTGACTTTTCAGAAATTCTTTTCCTTCTTAACTCTTGTTTGAATAGTTAAAAATGAATCAGCCTCCTGAATTTTTGCAGATTGCCTGTGCTGTGCCTAGATTAAAAAAAAAAAACGCACTAGATCCAGTGTAGATTGGCTTTTCCCCCACCAACCTTGCCAGAGAAAAAAATAGCATGTGGCTTGTGCTATATATTTACCACATAGTATTCATGCTTTGGTTTACAAAGAAAAAAAAAAATTCTTCCAAAAAGTTGCTTGTGAAATTTATGTGCGTGTTTTTTTTTAACATCCACACAACCATATTCAAAGTTTAGAGTTTAGCTACAAGATAAGCTTTTCAGAAAACTCGAGCTCTATTGCCCTTTTAACTTCTCCCCCCAGCCCCCCAACATGCACCCCAACCTCCCTGGCTGTTTGTTCCCCAAACAGGAGAGCAGTCACTGCTGAAAATCTGATGTAGAGGTACACAGGCTGCCCGTGTGAGAAAGCAGATAGCAAAGCAGCACAAATGTCAAGCATCCTGCCTCACTTAACCCTGCAAGTGATTAAGTTCCAAGGAAGTTTAAAAAAAAAAAGGCTGAGTTCATTTCATAGGCACTATGTCATCTGATAAATGCATTTTAAAAGTGGATTTTAAATCAGATATTCAAGATTTAATGTTTTCAGGCATTTCTAGGTACAATGAATTCACTTGTAACTCAGTTTACTGTGATTTTTTGATGAGTTTCTGTGTTCCTCTGTCGAGTATAAGTTCCATGAAGGTAAGGACTGCCTGTTTTGCTCACTACCATGTTCATAACATCTAGCCCAGTGCCTGGCATGTTTAATTTACTGGAAAAGCTTTTCAGATAATTTGCAATGCTAGAAATGTAGCCATTTCTAATTAACATGTAAATTATTAATAACATGTAAGTTATCTAATCAGTGGGTAAAATAGACTAAGAAGTATAATTTTTCAGTTGTGCAAATTCTCTCTCCAGACTTCTGTGTCAGGAGATAGGTTGTGGGGTAAGAGATACATTCATTCAGTCACTTGATGAGCATTTGTGGAGTGCACAGCGCGGAGACCACAGCAGCACAGGCTGTGTGTGTGTGTGTGTGTGTGTGTGTGTGTGGTTGGCCCTGCATCCCTGCACCTCTGCTCCTCCCTTTTCTCCTGGTCTCCATTTTCAGGAAAGGAGAGCTGCAAGAGCATTGGAACAAGAAAGACATTTGGTTGTAGGTTAAAAAGAAATTTCTAATGGATGATCCTTAAGTAAACAAAATAAATGAGTATATCAAAATTAATTATGCCAGGCTTTCATGATTTCTTTTGGGAAAACAATTGGTGACATTTTATATGTTTTAGCTCTAAAGTTACCTTCTGAAACAGTGATTCTTAACTGCACATTCGAAGCACTCGAGGAGATGTTTATTAAATTGGCCGGAGGTGGGATCTGGGCATGGACATTTTTTAAGAGAGAGGGGGCAAAATCTTTGCATTATATTTCTTTGCATCAAATCATTAACTATTATTAACTGTTGCAGTATTTTTGTACTAATTGATGTTTCTTGTGAAAACATTTTTAAAATTGGTCTCCAAGGAAATTTGAAGTCATTTTAATAACGGAAAATCTGTATTTGTATACCTAATATTTGAAAGCATTACTTCTCAAACTTTAATGTGCATCAGAATCACCTGGGATCTAGTTAGAATGCAGGTTCCCAGGCAGTGTGCCAGGGCAGGGCCTGAGATGCTGCATTTCTAACAAGCTACTGGTGAGCCCAGGACACTGCAGGTGTTTGGACTACACCAGTGGTGAGAGTATTCGGGACTGCTGTTTCTGTTGGATGATGCTTAGCTTGTCAGCAGAATTCAAGCTTAACCAAGTTTAGGGTGCCCAGGCATTTCCCCACGGACACCACATTGTTCCTTCAGCTCAGCAGTTTTTGGGTGGTGAGCCAGCGGAGGCCTGTGCATGATTCTTCTTTCTTGAGGTCTGAACCCAAGGACCCTTCATATCAGTTGCCCAGGCTTCTCTGGTTTTGTGGGAAACATTGGCATAAGTGAGCTTGTTTTTTTAAGTACGTGATTGAAAGCTTTCCTTATATAAAAACTGATTTATTCTGATTCATACTAATTATTTTAAAGAAAGTGTGAAAAATAAATGTGGATTGCACATAGTTTTCATAGTTTTGCTTCATGAGTGATATCTCTCCCATGGTTATAGATAATCCTTACATTTGCAAGACTGGAATAATAAAATTCGTATTCGTGGGTGCACATTTGTTGAAAGACTACCATTTGGTTTTGAGAATTTCAGAGATGGATAGGGTACTTTCCATTTTATTTCTGGTGGTTGGTTAATAAACTCACACACCTTTCTGATTTCTTTAAAAAAGATAATTAAAACAGGGAATGCGAGACCTGGTATTAATTGACTGAGCTTTGGTTTTTGTAAACTTATGTATTTTTTCCCTTTTTCACCTAGTTTGTACCTACTAAAAGCAAATGCACATGAAGTACCTTGAATTTTTGAAGGAAGAGGACAATAAATTAAACTATTATTATTAAAACAATTGATGGCTAATTATCTCTACCCTTTACTTGGCAGTTGAAACCACTATAAAGGTTTAACAGAGCCCCGGGAGAAGCGGGCAGACAATTTAAAGATAAGAGTAGTATTTAAAGAAATGCTTATGCTGGGACCTGTTTCAGCCGGACAATCAGCTAGTAACTTGATGGGGATATTTTGGGTGGAACAATCCATACAATACAAGAATTTTAGCATCCCCCCCCAGCACTTATCCGTACAGCCTGCTCACCCCATCCAGCCCTCCTCATCCCAGTGTGATACCAAATATCCCCCGCATGTATTCTCAACTATGTCTGGCAGACGTACCACTCCAGGTTAAGAAACGCTAATGAACATGATGTAATCTATGCAGAAATAGAAGTATAATGATGTACACTTGAAATTTATACAATGTTATAAACCAATGTTACTGCAATAAACAAAAAATTGAAAAAAAAAAAAAGAAACACTAATGAAAGGCTCAATAAAAAGGGAAATTATGCTTCTGGCTTCAGGTGTTTTTTGGGACTAGGAAATGGATTTCTCTGGCTGATTAAAATATACATTGATTAAGGAAAAAGGCCCCGTAAACATGGTGGCTAAAGATGATGTTAATTTCACCTGATTTATGTAGGCTTCTTGCTTTGAACATCCAAATGGGCTTCATAATCCCATCTAGCATGCTGCATATGACTTAGAGACAAAAATCTTCCTCTACCTACACTGACCACGTGTGATTTCCTTGATGCCCTTCCCCTCTATGAGGACTTGCATGTCGTCAAATGATTTTGATCATTTCCCCATGAATCACACATGTGCACTTGTGTTGTGGATGATAGTCACAACTCATCAAAATGAATTAGAAGTCAATGTTTTCACCAACTTGAGGGTAATTGTATTAACTATTAATCTTTGGGGACATAGAGACTCTTGCAAGAATGAATTCTTTTGTCCTTAAGTCACACCTTATAAAAGAGCAGAATGATCAACGATAACCACTCTAACGTACTTACAATTTTTTTTCTCAGATGGATCCTAATAGAATATCAGAAGATGACACTCACTGCATTAATAGAATCTTCAAACTCCATGAAAACGCAGATTTGCAAGATACAACTCTGGAGAGTCAAGACACAAAATTAATACCTGACTCGTGTAAGAGAATTAAACAGGCCTTTCAAGCAGCTGTGCAAAAGGTGAGTCCACACTGAGGCTATAAGTCAAGGGCTCCTGTGTCTCTACTAATACTGAAAATTAAAACTAGCTGAGTGCTGTTGACTTTGTTCTTTTTTATTTTAATAATCTGCAAAAGAGCTCAAGAGAATTTTTAAAAGAATTTGCAAAATTCTTTTGAAGTTGGTAGTGGTTGATTATGGTGACTGGAGACGTTCATACAAATATTCTTTTCTTTTCTTTTTTAAGAGGAGGGATTTAAACTTACACTTGGATGGAGGACAAAGATGGTTTGTGGTAGTCAGTGGGTCAGTTTGCTGGTTTGAATTCCCTGGCCTAGAAACCATTCCCTCAGTTCACAGGACTCTCTGGTAGCTGTTTTCTTTATATTTAGTTTTGTAATGGTAGGAGCCCCTATTCCACATCTGTTGATCCAGGGCTCTGTTCAGAATAATTGTAACTGGTCCATTTTTGTCATCTGTGGTGAGGAGGTAAGCAAGCAGAGCAGAAATGATGCGGTGGGTGAGATGGAAATTCTATGTCTATTTTCTCATTTTTTGGGGAGCTGGGTGAGAAAGGAGGAGATGGGGACTGAGAAGACCAGTGACTTCTCTTATATCTCCAATTGAGAAACACGGTAATAACTGTTTTACTTTCCTGGATATAGTCACTTGAGAATTCTGCAGCCTGGGAATTATTTTACTTATTAACTCCACCAAAAACTGGGTAGAACTCAGTAACTCTAGTGCATGCACACCTGCATGCATGCACACGTACATGGATTCTTGCATCTACCCATACATCCCAGCCTCTGTTTTGCAACTCGCTGGCCTACTTTTGATCACTTTAGAGTAGATCCTAAAGTTCTCAGAGTCCTTAAATCTAAATTGAATTTTAATTTAGTTTACTTTTTAAAAATCCACATATAATAACATTTTTTTAAAAAGAGGATGTGTATTGAAAGTAGAAGTAGGGAGATGAAGCTGTTATGTAAAACCAACTGATAAAGGTAAATGTCTGTAAGACTCTTAAAGTTGATAGTTGCTGTATGTTATCAAATCTAAGATACCCCAATTTTCAACTTACTTCGTTACTTCATGAATCACAAAGAAAGAAAAAAAAAAGTTGGCTAAAAAATTAAATAGGATCGTCATAGATTCTAGTTGCATCTTGGTTTCAGAGATACTAAAATGTAAAAAAATGTGCATCATAGCATCAATGTACATATTGCTGTAATATCTATAAGAAAGCATATTGCTTATGAAGATCACATCTTCATTATGAGTAGTCTGGGTGCTTAGTTTATGCAGTAGATGTATATTTTAAAATGTAGGCTTAAAATTGGTGGTCTTTTTATCTTACATTGTAACTTTTGAGGCGTAGTAACAGCAATTCTGCTAGTCTATTCATTTTTGTTGTTTTGTTTTATATTTCATTTTCATTAGAATGCTTTTTATCTCATTTAAGAAGCTTATCTCCCAAATATTGAGTAATCTCTCTATAAACAACTATATACACGTACTAGAGGTATTCTATTAGTTCAAAACTGAATCCCTTATTAAGGTAATTCTGGTTAGGTAAATGATTGTCTCCTAATTTTTTGTTTAGATCCACCCATATTGTATCTCTTTAAAATGAAGAGATAAACTTTTAATTTTATGGGTGTCCATTCTTTTTTTTTCTGGCTGGGGAAGATTTGTCCTGAGCTATCATCTATTGCCAATCTTCCTCTTTTTTGCTGAGGAAGATTTGCTGTGAGTTAACATCTGTTGCCAATCCTCCTCCACTTTGAATGTGTGCTGCTGCCAGAGCATAGCCATTGACAGATGAATGGTGCAGGTCTGCACCCAGGAACTGAACCCGGGCTGCTGAAGCAGAACACACTGAATTTAACCACTAGGCCACCAGGGCTAGCCCTCGGTATCCATTCTTAAAAACTATCCCTTGGGTTTCTTTTGGAAGAATAAGTATGCAAAATCAGCCAAGATAGTTTTGAAAATAATAATATTAAGAAGAACAGATACTATTAACATTTATTTATGGGAATGCAACAATGGTTCATCTTAATAGTCAAAGGAGAAAAACGTTATTATCTCATAGAAACTGAGAAATGATTGACAAAATTTTGTATTTATTTCTGATGTTTAAAGTCCATCAGAAAATAGAACAAGATGGATTCTTACTGTTATCCTACGTAGCTCAAACTAAAAGTTAGCTAATGATGAAAAACAGGGACATTTCCCTTAGGCAAAAACAGATCAAAGATGCCCACTGTCCCCATGTTATTTAACATTGTTCAGAATGTGCTAGCTAATATAATTACACAAGAGAATGAAATAAGAAAAAAAATGTATGTATAAGAGGAGAAGGCAGAATTTGCGTGTGATAAGATTATATTCTTGGGAAAATTGAAAAGAAACTAAAAGGCTGCAAGCAAAATGAAAACAAAGAAATCAGTTTATAAAAATTAAGTAATAATCACTAATTGTCCCTATTTCAAACAATAATTAGAGAACATGAATGAAATATTCCTTTCATAATTTTTTTAAATCCCTAAAAATAAACATAATAAGGAACATACAAAGTTTATGGGAATAAAACTAGAAAACTCTACAGAGACACTTAAAATAGGATTCAATTATGTAAATACATAACTATGCAAAGTCATAATCCATGAAAGAGAGCAAACACCTTAGAGTAGAATTTATTATATGCATGTGAAGGTATTTGTGTATATAATTTAATATAATACAGAATTATTTTAAATAAATGGGCATAGTTTGAATTATTCAAGAATGGTACAGAGGGACAATTTATTTACTATTTTTTAAAAAGTGATTAACTGGGGGCCGGCCCCATGGCATAGTGGTTAAGTCTGGCACACTCCACTTTGGAGGCCCGGGTTCATGGGTTCATTTCCTGAGCGTGGACCTACACAGCTCATCAAGCCATGCTGTGGCGGCATCCCGCATATGAAGTGGAGGAAGATTGGCACAGATGTTAGTTCAGGACTGATCTTCCTCAGGCAAAAAGAGGAGGATTGGCAATAGATGTTAGCTCAGAGTGAATCTTCTTCACCAAAAAAGAAAAAAAAAACCCACCAAAAAAAGTGAGAACCTTATTTCATGTCCTAAGTGAAAACAAATCCCAGCTGGAGAGAGAACTTGGTGGCCAGTCTCTGCTCCTTGGCAGTCCAGCAACACCTTCTGTTGCTTCAGTGAACTTTTCTGACCCTACCTGCCCCATCAGAACTTACCTGCCCATTGTCCCATTTCCTTTGAGTTTTCTAAGCAGTTGCCTAGATGGTGTGATAAACCAATTTGTACTTAAAGATGCTGATGAGCAATGAGGGCAGAATTTTCACTATTTTAGGAGACTTTTGTAGACATGGTGACTCGTTCCAAATGAGTAACACTAATTATGAGAGATTCAGTCCCTGGCAAGCCACAGGGATTTTCAGGCAGACAAGAAGAGTCAACCGCTCTTATTAAAGGCACACAGTTTTAATTACACTAATAGATTAGTATGACTCACAGGATTAGTAGAACTTTATTTCATTAACTTCACATTTGTTTTTGTTGTGCTATAGGATTTTACTTCTTATGCATGGGTAATAATATTATACACAGGTAATCTTTTTTAAAGAATAAGGAGCTGTCATGATATACCAGTGCGGGTATGGAGATAGAAGATGCCATTTCTTCCCCTAGACAAGAGGATCTTTAGGAAGGAGACGAGTGTTATCCATACTTTATCGTTTGAATCCACCAATGTTTATTAAAGTGCACATACCATCCTAGGCACTTTGCATAACTTCTCTACCCAAAGATTTACTCTTCTTTTACCCTCACCAAATAACGATTTGCTAATGTGTTATCCTTTGATGAAGATTGTTGGTTAATGTGATGTTCTACACATCTTGCCAAAATAATCAGATTTCTCATTTCTCTTGCCAGTGCTGAAAATAGGATGGATGTATCAGGCATTCATAAGTAGGTTTGTATCTTAGTTTTAGTTCTAATATAGATATTGAGTGAACCCGTAAAACAAAATTACATGTGTAGCTGCAATCATTATTGAGAGATCGACCCATCTAGTGGTAACAAATGCTAGACATAAGCACAATATCACATTATATGTGTGCAAAAAGTGATGTTTATCCAGTCCGTCTTTGGTCAGACAAGTAATGCTGTTTTTTCCCCCTTTTTTGCTTGTGGCTGGGTTTTCTTGGCTTTTTTTCCCCTTTAACACAGAACTCTGAAAGCCTCTTAGTGATCCAACCCTACCAACCACAATTTACAAAGTCTATCATAACAGTCTATGACAATAAAGAAAACACTAGTACAAATACGGTGCTGATTTATAAAGCAAATCTTGTTTCCAGCTTTGGCAGCCTCTCCGGCCTCTGCCAGCCTCAGGAGTGGAGTGGTGAGCTCAGGCCGGAGCAGGGTCCTGCTCTGCATGGCGGGGAGGGCCCTTAGCCCTCAGACCTCCCAGCCAGTCTCAGTGGAAAGCCATCTGTTTATGCACTAAATATACATTCTGAGCACTCGGGGCTGTGACTCTACTTGACTTCAGTATGCCAGGCTGTTGATTTCACATTGGGTACCTCCTTGTGAAAAACTTCCTGAAACTTACTTTCAAAAGTGTTTGAAAGAGAAATATGGAGGAGAGAGATCAATATACAAATTACACAGTCACCTTGCTCTCCAAAGTCGGACGTTCAGTGCATTCAAGATGACCCCCTAGGATGTAGAAAGGGCGCATAGGGGCTCACATGTAAATGTATTTTTTAATATTAGCTTTTAAAAACTATGTTTTTATGAATGTTTTTTAATGTAATAATATACAGGAATGCTTTTATTTAATATTTAAATAAATAAATGTGCACCTTTGGGACCATTAAAATTTTTTCCCTGCAAGATGCACAATCAGAAATGTTTAGAGATCATGGGACAGAGCTGCAAGATCCATCAGGACAAGAACTATGGCCACATTTGCTCACATTTGAATATATCACACC